CAGCGAGGGTGGGGGCAGGACTGTGCGCCCTCGAGCGCCTTCTCCTAGGAAGCCAGGGAAGCTCTAGGTTTCCGCAGGCCTGGAGCCTCTCTGCGGAGAATGAGGGCCTTTCCGTGGCGCCGCCGGAGGAGGGAGGGCGGCCGAGGGGCCGTAAGACTTCTCCCCGAGGAGTGGGGTGTCTGCCCCCGCGCACAGGGCGTCCCGGGACGTCATCCGTGGGAAGGGGGATGGATGGCCTGCGAGTGTGAGGCGCTGAGGAAGCAGCCTCCCCCCTCCCCTCCGGGTCTCAGCCGAGCCCGATGCTTCCCCCTCGCAGGATTTCAGGCCCCAAACCCGCTTCTACCCTCTTGGGTGGAAGGAGAGGTGGAGGCGTGGAGGTCCAGGATCCAGAGGGTGAGAGCTTAGCAACTGTCCGCGGGGCGAGGGGAAGGGAAAGGCCACAGGTGCTTCACTTCCAACCCCAGGATGTGGCCTTTGAGAACCCTCCTCCCCACTCAGCCTCAGCGCACACTGCTCCCTCTAGAGCCCTTCTGCCTCCCTGCACCCCATCTCCAGGAGGTTCCGGTCTCACTGCCAGGTGGGCCTCCAGTGCCTCTTAGTCATCCTGGACAACCCCCGCTTCATGCCGAATGGAGTCTGAGCTTCCAAGGAAGATAGGGGAAGCACATGTAATTTGGTTTTTGTTGTGTGATATAATGAAGACAAATGTTCCTTTGGATATTAATTATGTGGATCACAGTGTAATGGATAATGCCATTCATCAGAGATTTAAAAAAGGAAAGCTGTTTTGCCTGCAGGCATAATCCTATATAATAAAAGGCTAATATGCAAATTGATGGAACAGTGGAAGACCAGTCGCTATGATGCACACTGACCACCAGGTGGCAGACACTCAATGCAGGAGCTGCCCCCTGGTGGTCAGTGCTCTCCCACAGGGGGAGGGTCGCTCCGCCAGAAGCCGGATCATGGCTGGCGAGCGCAGCCATCCACAGTGGTCCTTCCTCCGTGACCAGTGTCAAGCCTGTTTCTCCCCAGTACAAGTACCTGCTCTAGCATAATTCATCCACACAGGTGAAAAGCCCTACTCCTGCCCATTGCGGGCGATGCTGCTGCCACAGGGCTTCCCTGGCCATCCACAGGCAGGCTCACACTGGGGAGAAGCCCTACCAATGCCCAGACTGCAAGAGTCACTTCACTGACCCCCAGCTGCTGGCCACCCACCAGCACAAGCACACAGGCAGAGAAGCCCTCCAGCCGTCCTAAATGCAGCCTCCGTTTTGCCTACAGCAGTGGTTCTCGACCTTCTGGCCCTTTAAATACAGTTCCTCATGTTGTGACCCAACCATAAAATTATTTTCGTTGCTACTTCATAACTGTAATGTTGCTACTGTTATGAATCGTCATGCAAATATCTGATATGCAGGATGGTCTTAGGCGACTCCTGTGAAAGGGTCGTTCCACCGCCAAAGGGGTCGCGACCCACAGGTTGAGAACCGCTGGCCTATAGGCACTTCTCTGCTGGCTTCCCACAGGTGCACACACACAGGCGAGAAGCCCTGCCCCTGCCCTGACTGTGGCCTCTGCTTTACCTACTCTCCTCCATCATCAGCACATCCACTCTGGCAGCCAGTCCTTCCTGGGCCCAGGGTGGGGAAGGCTTCAAGCGCAAGCAGGCCCTGGAAGACCATCGGCGGGTCAATCCCTCTGACAAGAGCCCAAGTGGCAGCAGCCTGTAGTGGGGCTTTCAGAGCCAATCCTGTTTGGGAGGCCAGGATCCCCCGGTTAATTTCTGGTACTTTCCAGATGGACTTCAAGAGTGTTAGGTGATAGAGCTCCCATGAGATGCTTCGAGTTCTCTCTGGAAAGGAAGAGGCAAGGTTTATGTGTTAGCGGGTAAGGAAAGGACGTGGGCGTTTAGGGAAAACCAAGCTCTGTGTTAGGAAATGGGCAGAGGTGAGGGGCCCAGAGAAGGTCCTTTGGGAGAAGGAGGCTGCGATCCGAATGACCGCCTGAGGACTAAACCCGTTCTGAGGTTCCTGCTCCCACTTCCCAGTCCCAGTTGGGGTTACTTCACTGCAAACCATCCACCTGACTTTTCTTTCTGGATTGTTCTCTCCCTTAGAGCATTCTGGTCTGTATCTCCCCTGTTCCTCAGAGATGGGGTCCTTTAGATGTGAAAACCTGTTAAAGGAGCTGGTACCCACTGTAGAGAGGCCCTGGAACAGAGGGCACACTTTGGGCCTGGAGATGGATACTGGTGGTGGTTGCACAACAATAGGAACATATTAATACCACTGAGCTGTACACTTAAAAATTGTTAAAATGGTAACTTTTATGTTATGCATTACCACAATTTTTAAAAAAAGGAATGAAGCCCTAGCCAGCTTGGCTCAGTGGATGAAGTGTCAGCCTGCGGACTGAAGGGTCCCGGGTTTGATTCTGGTCAAGGGCACATGCCCGGGTTGCGGGCTCGATCCCCAGTAGGGGGCATGCAGGAGGCAGCCTATCAATGATTCTCTCTTATCATTGATGTTTCTATCTCTCCCTCTCCCTTCCTCTCTGAAATCAATACAAATATATTTTTAAAAAATAAAAAAGGAATGAAGTGTTGATTCATGACACAACATGGCTGAACCTTGAAAACACTATGTTAAGTGAAAGAAGACAGACACAAAAGGACAAATATTGTGTGAGGTACCAGAACAGGCAAATTCATAGTCAGAAAAATGAGAAATTACCAGGGGCTTGGTGACAGGGGAATAGAAAGTGACTGCTTAATGGGTTCTGGGTTTCCTTTTTTGGTGAAGAAAACATTTTGAAAATCGATAGTAGTGACAGTTGCACAACATTGTGAATGCAATTAATGCCACTGAATTGTGAACATAGAAATGGTTAAAATGGGCTCTGGCCAAGTGACTCAGTTGATTGGAATGCCCTCCCATACACCAAAAAGTTTGCAGGGGCTCTAGCCTGTTTTGCTTAGTGGATAGAGCCACGGCCTGCAGGCTGAAGGATCCCAGATTTGTTCCGGTCAAGGGCACATGCCTAGGTTGTGGGTTCCAGCCCCAGTGGGGGAGCTTGCAGGAGGCAGCCAATCAATGATTTTCTCTCATCATGATATTTCTATCTCTCTCCCTCTCCCTTCCTCTCTGAAATCAATATATATATATTTAATTTTTTTTAAAAAAGGTTGCAGGTTCAATCCCCTGTTGGGGCACCTATGGGACATACATGCATGTTCAACGCAGTACTAGATAAGAGGTGGAAACCCAAATGTCCACCTCCATCAACAGATGGGCAACATGATATATCCAAACAATGGCATATTACTCAGCCACAAAAAGGAATGAAGTACCGACACATGCTAAAGACAGAAGCCAGAAGGAAAGGCTACACATAGTGCATGGCTTCATTTATATGAAATATCCAGGAACAGCAGATCTATAGGGACAGAAAGCAAATTAGTGACTGCCATGGGCTGCAGGAAGGGGAGAATGGGAGTGGCTGTTCAATGGGTAGGTAGGTGGTTTCCATTAGGGGTGATGAAAGTAATGACTGGTTTACACTGTAAATGTACTAAATGCCACTGAATTGTACAGTTTTAAATGGCTGATGTGTAATGGCTTATGTGATGTGTATTTTACAATAAAAAGTGTGCACAAGGAAACATTCAGGGGTCACATCAATGTCCTATATCTTGTTGGAGGTGATTGATGGTTAATATGGTTGTACACATTTGTCAAAACTTGGCCAATTTTACACTGAAGATCTGTGCATTTTACTGTATGTACAATAAAATTAATAAAAAGTTTAAAGTAGTTGCCTTTTGGAGAATAGGGGGAAAGGGTACAGGGAACTGATTTTTTCTTTTTTAAAAAAATGTATTTTATTGATTTTTTTTTACAAAATTGGAAGGGAGAAGGATAGAGTTAGAAACATCGATGAAAGAGGAGCATCCCATCAGCCGCCTTCTGCACACCCCCTACTGGGGATGTGCCCGCAACCAAGGTACATGCCCTTGACCGGAATCGAACCTGGGACCCCTCAGCCCCCAGGCTGACGGTCTACCCAGTGAGCCAAACCGGCTAGGGCTGATCTTTTCATTACAAAAACTTTTAAAACCCATATGCATTAATTAATTTGGGAAAAAAAGAAAATATAACAATTTCCCCATTCCAATTCGAACCTCAGCAAACACATTCCTTCGCCCGCTGCTCCAGGCGGAGGCTGAGTGAGCCGAGCGGAGCGCGCAAGGAGGGCGTGGCCC